CTGCAACCCTTTAATCCCAGCACTCAGGAGGCAGAGGGAGTCAGATCTCTGTGAGTTGGAGGCCAGCCTGGTCTACAAAGTGAGTTCCAGGCCAGCTGGGACTACAGGGAAACCCTGTCTCAAAAAGACCAAAAAAAAAATTATGTGTATGAGTGTATTGCCTACATGTATGTAAGTGCACCCATGTCATGCAGTGCCCATGGAGGTCAGAAGAGGGTGTGAGATCCCCTGGAACTGTTGTTAGCTGTCATGTGGGTGCTGGGAATCAAACCTGAGTCCTCTTCAAGAGCAGCCAGTGCTCTTAAATCACTGAGCCATCTCTCCAGCTCTACTCTTAGCATTCTTGGTCACTATGGAGAGCCACACAGAGTTGACTTGAAGTGACAAAGAAGCTCTGTTAGCTAAAAAGTCAGTTGAAAATAGTTATTGGTAGTCTCAATTATTTCTCCTTTGGCACCTGGTCTTGAATAAGTCACTCCTTTCCTCTCTGCTCTTTATGTAGATGGTGCACAGTGTAAACATCTGTCAAGCCTACTGCTTGCATCAATCCAAGTTTCAAAGGGTTTAGAATCAGATTCTTCTAATTCGCCACAGTTTCCTGTTCAAATCAAATGTGTACATCATTCAGGAAATTTTCGCTAGTTTCAATTTTTAGTTTTTTAAACTTTAGTGTACATGGCATGCTATGTATGTGTGTGGTGCATGCACATCAGTGTGTGGGTTCATGTACCCATGTGTGTGCATGGAAGGCCAGAGCAGGACTTTACGAATCTTTCTCTAGCACTCAAAATTATGGCCTTGAGTTTATCTCTCTCTGAACCAGAAGCTTGCCCTTTTGGTGAGGCTGGCTAGGTATTGAGCTATCCAGATTTGTGAATCTCCATTCCCTATGTTGGTGCTATACGCAGCCATGCCCAGATTTTTATGTGGGTTTGGGGGGTTTGAACTCAGGTCCTCATTCATGTAGTTATAAAGAGCTCCTACCCACTAAGCCATCTCTCCAGACATTACTTTTTTCTTTTAAAGTCAGGGTCTCACGTAGCCCAAGCTAGCCCTGAATTCTGTATGTAGTCAAGGATGACCTTAAGCTTCTGATCCCTCTGTCATCACCTCCTCAGTTCTGGGAATGGAACTCAAGACCTCCTGCATGCTAGGCAAGCATTCTACTAACTGAAATACATCCCCAGTCCATGAGTTTTTTTTTCAGGATTTATTATTATTATTATTATTATTATTATTATTATTATTATTATTGTCTTTTTGAGACAGGGTCTCTCTGTAGCCTCAGCTGGCCTGGAACTCACTGTGTAAACCAGGCTGGCCTCGAACTCACAGAGATCTGACTGCCTCTGCCTCCCAAGTACTAGGATTAAAGGTGTGCGCCACCGCACCCAGCTTTATTTTTATTAATAATTGTGTGTATGTATGTGCGTGTCTGCACACGTGTGAGTGCCCAGAGAGACCAGAGTAATCAGATTCCCCTGGAGCTGAAGTTATAGGCAGTTGCAAACCACTGGACATGGGTGTTGGGACCCAAACTCATATCCTCTGTAAGAATAATATGCTCTTGGGTTGGAGAGATAACTCAGCAGTTAAGAGCACTGGCTGCTCTTGAAGAGGACCTGGGTTCAGTTCCCAGCACCCACATGGTGGTGCACAATCTCCTGTAACTCCAGCTCTCAGGGATCTGACACTCTCTTCTGACCTCCGTGGGCATTGTACAACACGGGTGCACTTAAATACATGCAGGCAATATAGTCATACACATAAAATTAAAATTTTTTTTCGACTTTTTGAGACAGGGTCTCCCTGTAGCTCCAGCTGTCCTGGAACTCACTATGTAGACCAGGCTGGCCTTGAACTCACAGAGATCCGCCTGCCTCTGCCTCCCGAGTGCTGGGATTAAAGGCATGTGCCACCATGCCCAGCTTAAATTTTTTTTTTTTTTAAAGAATAGTATGTTCTCTTAGCCCCTGAGCCATCTCTCTAGCCCCCATAACTTTCAGTCTTTTATGTCATCTGTCACTGGGAGGGAAAATAATAAATATAGGTAGGTGTCACACTGCTACCAAGGAATTTTATCCTTTTGGGCCCTATTCAAAAGTTTCAAGAGGACAAAAATGAACTCCAGAAACCCCTTGTGTTGGGAGAAATAGGAAATCAACTTCTGACTTAGGGTATTTTTCTTTTTTTTTTTTTTTTTTTTTTTTTTTTGAGATAGGGTCTGGCTATGTAGCTCTGCCTGGCCTCAAAGTTGATATGTAGATCAGAGCCTGGAATTTGCAGTGAACCTCCCTGCCTCTGTCTCTGGAGTACTGGGATTACAGATGTCTACCACTATGTCCAGCTTCTGCCTCAGCATAGTTCATCAAGGATGTTCCTTATTCATTTATTAACTAAATATTTGAATGTGTACTGAAGACAGTATGCCAGGCTGACCTAGCTCCTAACTCTTCATTCCTTCCTCTAACTACAGAGCTTCTTCTCTTGCTCCCATCATCAAGGCAAGATCTTTTTATCTTTCATTCTGAGAAATGCAAACTATTAATGTTGGAGAATTAAGAAAATCCTTGTGGTGTTACTTCCTCAGCAGACAGCTCTCAATTACCCTTGAACTTAATGAGGTAGAAGGATAATACAAATTTTCCAAAACAGGAGCTAACTACATGAAACAGCGATCCACCTATAACCCATCACAGAATGAACTAAATGATATTGACTGCTTTTACTATTTCATCCAGGCTGATATGGAAAGAGATTGCAGTAGCTGAAAAACTGATCAGGGATCAGGCAAAGATGATTTCAGATGTGTTGGCTGCCATGTGAGGTCCAAATAAAACTCGACAGCAGAGCAATCATAGATACCAATATTCTGTTTTCATCAATAACCACTCATACATGGAATAGAGGCTGTGTCACTACAGTGGGTGTACCAATTTTTAAAAATTGTTATTTTAGGGCTGGAGAATGGTAAAGCAGTCAAGAGCACTGTTTGCTCTTCCAGAGAATCTGGGTTTGGATCCCAGGACCCACATGGCAGCTAACAACCATCTTCAACATCAGTACTAGGGGATCCAATGCCCTTTTTCTGATCTCCATAGGTTTGCATGCATGTGGTGTACTTCCATACATACAAGCAAAACATTCATACACATAAAAATAAATAAAACTTTTAAACATTAAAGTGTTATTTAAGCTGGGCATGGTGGGCATGCCTTTAGCCCCAGCATAAAGGAGCCAGAGGCAAGTGGATCTCTGTGATATCGAGACCAACCTGGTCTACATAGCAAATCTGTAAACAATCTCTGTTTCTCTGACAGCCCTTAAACTTTAAGCTGTCAACAGTTCTATGCCAACCTGAAAACTCTTGTATGCCCAGACCATAACTTCTTTTTTTTTTTTTTCCTTTTTGGTTATTCGAGACAGAATTTCTCTGTAGCCCCAGCTAGCCTGGAACTCACTATGTAGATCGGGCTGGCTTTGAACTCACAGAGATCCACCTGCCTCTGCCTCTCAAGTGCTGGGACTAAAGGCCAGTGCCACCAGGCCTGGCTCATGACCACAATTTCTAATCCATTGCAAAATATTGTAGATAAGTGCTCAATTAACAGTAATTGACAAGGGGCTGAAGAGAAGGCTCAGGGGTTAAGAGCACTGGCTACTTATGTAGAGGAACCCAGATTCAGTTCCCAGCACCTATGTGGTGGGCTAACAACTATCCATAACTCCATTTCCAGGGGCTTCAACACTCTCTTCTGGCCTCCACAGGCATTGTACAACACGGGTGTACTTACATATATACAGTCAAAACACTCATACACATAAAATAAAAATAAATTTTAAAAATTACAAAAAATTGGCAGGGCGTGATAGTGCACGTTTTTAATTCCAGCACTTGGGCAGCAGAGGCAGGTGGATCTCTGTGAGTTCAATGCCAGCCTGGTCTATATAGTGAGTTCCAGGACAGCTGGGGCTACAGGGAGACCCTGTCTCAAAAAAGCAAGTAAAATAAAACAACAACAACAAACAAACAAAAAAACTCACATTGACAGAGTAAGATAATCAATGTGTAAATGTTTATAGTACTGGATTTTCTGGGAATACCTGATACATCCAGATTCCTTCAATGACTGAATGTGAAGCAACTCATGAGTTTTGGGCTTATACTGCTTGGACTTGACTCAGCTCTGCAAGTTATTAGCTATCTAATCTTAGATGACATGTAACCATCTCTGTGGCCCAATCACATAGGTAAAAATACTGCTATTTGTGGCAAATACTGCTGTTTGAGTTAATATATATAAAATGCTTAAATTGCCAGGCACCTGGTAAGCATTTTTTTTTTTTTAAATTTGGGTCTTAAAGTCCTGTAGTATTGTTTTTATGAAGGCAATTTCTAAGTATCAGTTATAATTGTGTTAATAGGCAGCCTGTGACTTGGAAAATGAAAAATTTTTGGAAATGACAAAAAAGGATGTATTTTTGTCAATTCCCATGTCTTTTGCTTCTGTACGCAGTGGTCAATTTTCCTAACTTAACATTAAGAAATTATTTTCTTCACACAATAGAGAAAATTCGAGCTCAGGTTTAAGGTTACACAGTATTTTGAAGTCAGATCCACACTCAGAAACTACTCATTTTCGCCCTTGCAGGGACCGCAATACCTTCAGTGTTTGGGGGGGGGGGGCATTTA